TCTATGCCTATTTTGTTAAGTGTCTTATCATAAAAGGGTGTTGAATTTTGTCAAATGCCTTTTCTGCGTCGATTGAAAGTATCATATAGTTTTTGCTTTTGCTTCTGTTTATGTGGTGGATTACATTTATAGATTTGCATATGTTGAACCATCCCTGCATCTCTGGAATGAAGCCAGACAAATCGTTTTTTCTATTGCTATTTGGCTTAAAACACAATGAGTAAAACCAAATCCCCTTTTATGTATCAACTTCACACACTGAGTAGATTACATATAATCACTTTACATCAATGTAAGGACACAGTAAAAATAAAGTTTCCAAAGAAATATGAATTAAAAGTCACCCTTAGTGTGTTAAATACTCAGATATCATTTATTAGTAGAGATTCACTGAATTTATCAGATTTCATTTCCATCTTTATTGTAAGAGTTGCCCCTTACTTAATCCTAGAACATCCATATGTTCTTGTATTCTTATAAGATCATGTTCCAACTAAAGAAACATTTTAAATCATCACAGTCAACAGATACAGTATTTTCATTTTCTGGAACAACATAATTCATATAAATCAGGAGCATTAAAACTGCTATCACTTTTTAAAACTTAGTATAGGAGAAAAAATAGAAAAAAAAATCTCTACACTGAAGATGTCATCCAGAAGCATAAGTACAGGAAGATTAAAAAAGAAACTTAATGATGTTGAAGAAATTGCTTTATATCTTTTCCCAGACCCTCTTGTTTTCCATTTATTTACTTCAATCTTCACAATAAATTGTACTAAAATCATTAACTGAGATTCGGGCTGAAGGTTGGTGTTAATTGGTGAGAATAAGGTAAGACAGGAGGATGACTTTCTCTTTTTCAGATGCTTTATTAATATTTTAATGGCGAATACATGTCAGCCTTTCATATACGGTCTTTTAAATCCACATTTAATATGAGTATCAAAGACTTCATCAAACGCAGAGAATTCCATGAACTCATTTCATCTCTGAGTCAGCAAAGACATCTTTAGTAATTATTTTCTGAATATCATCCCTGTAACCTCATCTGTTATTAGACATTCAATGTACCTCAACCCAAAGACAAGAAATGTATAAATTCTATATGCGGTTTCTTGAGGAGGCAGCAATATGCTAATAATGACAAACTTCAAAGTGAATTTCTTTTAAATTTCATACTATTTATGCAGGAGGAATTCTGTATTGAAGCGCAGACTTCAAATTTTTTCCTAATGTTAAAATGTTGAGCCATAAATTATCTTGGTGTTATATTTAAAATACTAACTTATGCAAAGTAGATAAAACAAACAAAATTGTTATTATTTTGGAAATAGGAATAATGAAATTCAACAGAATAATAGCTTTTCCTTATTTGATGAAGGTTTTTCCTTAAACTAGTGACGTAAGTTTATGTGTTCTTTACCTCAAAAGGTTGCATTTATACACATGAATTTTATAGTAGAGAAGATTTATCAATATTTCACTTTAACAAAAGTAAGCCATCCACTGTCTAAAAACAAAACAAAAACACCACCTTTACTCCAAAGTAGAAAAGACAATCCAAACTCGAATAGCCCAGAAAATTACAACAGAGCCACAAAATTGTCATTAAAATAAAGGGCTTCTCCACCCCAAAAGAATTTCTTCCTTATGTGAATAAACATCTATCATGACAGAAATTCTTATTAAATGACTTTGTTCTCTTCTTTTTCTCATTTTCCCGGTTTTATTTATTCCTTATATATTTTTGCCAGATGACAAAAAGAAAAAATTTAAGAAAACTAAGATGAAAGCAAGTAACACACTTTTTGTAGGAGAGTGGAAAGTTTCCGTTGGAAAAAAACTCGTAACACCTGCTGTAGTTTGAATATGTCCTCCAGAAAGCATGTGTCGGAAACTTAATCCCCAATGCAACCGTGCTGAAAGGTGGAGCGTAATGGGAGTTATTAATATTTAGGTCATGAGGGCTCCACCGATTATAATGCCTGTTTTAAAATGGCTTGAGGCTGCAAGTTCATTTTCTTGCTCACTCTTGTCCTCTCTTCTTTCAGCAGGGTTGACCCTGCAAGAAGGCCCTCGCAAAATGTGGCCCCCCAGTCTTGGACTTTCCAGCCTCCAGAACCATGAGCCAGTAAATTTTGTTCATTAGAAATAACCTAGTCCATGGTATTTTGTTCTAATAGCACAAAACAAACAAAGATGAGACTATGGATACGTTCTGGTCTTAGTCACTTATTTCTCATATGTTTGCATAAACAGAGGGGCAAAGAGTTAATCTAGTGAGCTACTTGCTGTACTTCCATGAAGCAATGAATGTTCTTACTGGAAAATGCTTCATAAAAACCTCACATAATAAAACAGGCCCTAGTTAATTCTCTACCTGTAGTGGGTATTATAACATATTTTCCTACCCATGAGAAATATTCTTCATATAAAATATCAATATCATCTTTCCACTTCAAGTTTTATTATACAATGATTATCTATATAATTTATCCATTCTTCCACTCATGTTGCAAACATTTAAATATTCCTTATGCTCCAGAAATGTGCTATCCATGTAGAATACAAATGAAAAAATAAAATTAAAAACCTAAGGAATTCATGAAATTTGGTTACAAAAACAAATATAAAAATTAACAAATACAGTACATTGTAAAGTATACAAAGATGAGGTAGGTATACAAAATAGGTACAATGATCCAATTTGGGAGTAGAGAAGATTTTCCTAAAAACCTAACCTCTGATCTGAATCTTACAGTGTAGTGTAGGTAGATGAGGGAGGGATGTTTGTTTCT